ATTTGAACCAGCGCGGGAAACCAAGCGCCGGAATTGCTGAGTTCCTACCTCGAGAATATGCGTAATGATGACATCTGCAGTTGTCGACGTCACATCAGGGAAGGCCCACGCCTTGATGGCCTGACTGTCATGATGACTGCCTCCCATATGTCACGTCACGGTCTCCTGGCGGGGTCAAACTCCCTAAAAGAACGAGGGCATCAATTCCGCCCATCAAGGACGCGTCGTACTGCGACCTCGACGAGCGGAGAGACTAACTGTATAGGGTCGAGTTTGACCAACCCCGTCCTCAAAAGGGACACGACCTGTCATGTGGACAAAGGTCGGGTCCAAGGGACGACCATGTAATCACGTCGGCCCCTCTGTAACGAGCACTTTATCTTTAGTTTATATATTTTATCTTTATATGGTAAATAGGAGAAAAGGGGAAATCCCTCCGCTATATAAGGGGGGTTCCCAACTGTGTAAAGGGAGGATTTTTTTCCGATCAATAATATTGCTACTTACTCTCTCTATCTCTCTGTCTCAATTTCTATCTCTTTCTTTCTCTGAAAAACGGATACCTCGGATCTTTGTAACATTATCACGCAACTTTGTCCTTTAACTGCTCCGAATCACCAAACCACAAAGGATTACTCATACTCTAGTGTCGATTATCTTTGATTACGATTTACCTCTCCTCCATATATTTGATTGATTTGCTTAAACACTGTTCGTTAACATTTTAAGTCAAACAGTAATCTTCTAGTTGTTTATGTTTAAGCCCAATTATGAGAGGAACTATACCAAAGACCGCTAATTGTGCAGGATGTGGATGGAAAATTCATGCGATAGACTTTTCGCCTCCAATTAAAGATTCTTCTGGTGTTATCCAACTCCTCTCAGCTGCACAAGGCTGGCCAAGTTTCTATCAAAAAGATGGTTTTAGTTGTTAGAATCATAAGTATATTAAATCATTAATGACAATGCACATTCATCTGAAAGTACTGTAAACATCGATACATCCAAAAAAGGGCAGCCCGGTGCACTAAGCTCCTGCTATGCGCAAGGTCCGGGGAAGGGCCGGACCACAAGGGTCTATTGTACGCAGTCTTACCCTGCATTTCTGCAAGAGGCTGTTTCCATGGCTTGAACCCGTGACCTCCTGGTCACATGGCAGCAACTTTACCAGTTACGCCAAGGCTCCCCTTCCGCCAAGGCTCCCCTTCCAAACATCCAAACATCATGGATCAAAAAGCCTTATGCAATCATGATGGTACATTTTCTATATTAGAGAAAAAGATATTGTACAACAAATATGACAAAAAGAATTGTGAGTAATGTCAGTACTTTAAAATATGCTAAGCATACTGTTCAGGAAGTGAATATATTCTTGTGTAGACTATGTCCTTTATCATGTTACAGAAAGACATGGCTTACATTCTTAAGTATCTTTTGGATTTGCAATCCACATTTCATTTGGAGTATAGAGTTTATAGTTATTTGATTCTGAACCGTAGTTCAATTACCAAGTACTACACAGTTTATACTTACATTTATGAGCTTTAAACTAATGCATGTTGTTAAAACTAATACCCTGTGCATTTGCATAGCTTGATTTATAAAATGTAAAAGCAAAACTGGCATTCAAGGATATCTCATTAGGAAAGCTAGAAATTAAGCTTCTGGCTTTAAAAACACATAATAACTTGCTATCTCAATGTGGAGTAGAAACCGAAAAATTCCCAAGAAATATCAAAAATCCACTTTTACCATATTCAACGAATAATCACTTTCTCGCTCTAACTCGCGCATCATCTCTGTCGTCAACCCAAACCATTCATCAATCCAGGCAAAGTAATTACGATGACTTTCCAGGAAAAGAGCCCTTTCCCCCTGAAAAAAAGTTATATGAAGGTTAGGTAGAGAAAGAAGAGAAGAACAACATAATATTGTTACTCATGTTGGTTGAGAGGACAGGGATCGTAATTGAAGAAGCTTCAAAATCTTCCAAAATTGAGAACTTTAAATGTAAAACCAAGAGAAGCAGTTAGGAAGCAAATTCAGCTCAACCCTTACAGCAACGGTACTCCGCCAATCTGCTTGATGACACTATCAGATAGTTAAACAGTCAAATTTAGTACATAACATTCAAAATTGGGCCAATATTTTTAGTGATCTGCCACAATCAAACACTGAATGCACCAGGATCTCATTCTAAAGAGTTTCTTTCTGAGGATGAAAGTCCCTTAAAAGAAACTAAATGACTTCTTCTAATCTCAATATGTTCTCTAACCTCCTTCAATCTATCTCGGTAATATGAAGCTCAGTATTTCAACAGTCACTGAATGTTTCAGTTTCTAAGAGAAAGCAATTTTACCATATATTCTAATAGCTCGGACTAGCTTAACTACTTGCTAGTGCACTAATACTGTTCAGAGCACACAGGATATTGTAATTTCTATCCAACAGACAATGCAGAATACATATCAATATGCCACAATGCACAAATTTAATGGTCACTAACCATAAAGTCAGTCAGTATTGATGGAATCGGTTCCACCAAAACCACGAAAATGATGCAGTCCAAATTATGACTCAAGTTTTGAAGCCTTGGGTTCGTTTCAATCAGAAAATGTACCAGATAAGACTTCTAAGTTTGAATCTTTAGAGGATAATTTAAGATGCATACCGCCATCAAAGCTTGCTCCAATTTTCCCCCAAAGCCCCAGTATGGAACATCTATTGTCACCAGTTTGTATGCTGTCATAACGGGACTACATTGGTCCTGAAAATACCAAGTAAGTCTCAAGTTAATAGAACTCTTCTTAATATAGGTCGGCGAGTAGAAGTCGAAATGCATATTATTGAAATCTTCAAACCCTGAAGCAAACGTTCAGTTCCTGTAGTCCATAGTTTAAACATGAAAGGCAGAAAAGCTTGTTAAAGTTATACAGTAGTTGAAACTTCAGTACAAGGGAAAAAACCCCTCATGATCCCACTTGGAAGCAAATAAAACTTGAGTTTCAAGGAAATTTAGCTAGCGTTTGGCCATAGATATCCCAAATTTGTTTTGAAAAATCTGATTTGGGTGAAGTTTGGTTTGAAGATGAAAATGTGTTTGGACATACGTTTTCAAAACATATTTTCCAACTTTATTTTGGAAAAACATGTATATAATTCCCAAGTTTTGGGATTTTGGCCCAAAATCAGCTCAATAGCTGATTTTGGGATTTGAAATTTGGGATTCGGGATTTGGCCAAAATATGGGCAAAATTTATGGCTAAACATGAGTTTTGAAAATAAATCCCAAATTTATTTTGGCAAAACTCATGGCCAAACGGGGTCTAAGTGTCTCATTTCCCACTAAAATCAATCCAAACCAACTCGATCACACAAGACACTGATAATGAAGCATAACGAAGCAGAAAATGGGAAAAACGGAGCGGTAACTCATGAGACGACGGGTCGGGTCGTCACAGAATCTCTTCTCTCTTGCTCCCTACATTTTTGTCTATTTTCTTGATTTATATTATTACTTTGAGCTAAGTTTCGTAACAGTTATGAAATAATTAATTAATAAAAATGGAAAAGAAGCACCACTGTTTTAAAAAATTATTAATTATTTCATATCAAATTGGTAATGCAGAAAATAATCCAATAAACTAATAATCAATCTATAATGATCACTTATCTAAACAAAAAGAACGGATCCATCAGGTTAAGTTAGTGAACTATGGAGTTATTTGTATTTGTATTGGTGAAAAATCAAAATGAATGGAGAAAATAAAATAGATGGTAAAATGATTGAAGAAGTACAA